GCAGCACAGAAACAACATTGGATCAAGCCAGTGCATTAATCATGGAAAACATTGCCTGAATCGAATGAATTAAAAGCTTTTCTTAAGGCACAAACCACAAAAAATGTAGAGAGCTCATAATATCTTGCTTTACCAGCTGATCATTCTGCGCACAACTCTGAAGCAACAGATTCTTCAAGTACTCTGTCAAGTGTTCAGCCTGGCTCGGGTATCCGAGAACACCTGCAAGGAGAAGAGGTAGGATGCATACAGTAGCAAGTCTTTGACCAACTGTAGTTGTGGCTTCAAATCTGTCACGATGGAAGATGAGATTAGCACAAATTCAATAGAAGTTTCGATATTATGAAAACTAGAAAAATTGAAATCATTACCTCTAATTTTCGGGTGGGAGTTGATAGGAAAGAATTTCAAGTCAGCTTCATTGCCCACAGCTACTAAAACCACTGGCAGCATGATATGGGTCAAATAAGATTCCCCAAACTGTGTTGTCACCGCCAACAAAAACTGCATTTGATTGTCCAAAAATTTAAATCTATTGAAACAAAATAGAAAATACAACAGATTGCAAAATAAATTGAAAAATTGTGCTTGTACTCTTGCTATGAAATGTCTTAAATTGTCTTCTTTTGGAGACAACAGAGAAGCCAATTGAACCAAACCAGGAAAGCACTCATTGTGCAACCACTCGAATGCAGGCCATTTGTTAACCCCCCCTGATCAAAGTCAATAGGCACCGAGTTCATAGTGGATACTCCTAACTCACCGGTAAAATGCTCCACTTCATGAAACACTCGGGAAAAATTGAATGTAAAGTACTTCGAAGCTCACCTGTATAGATTTCAAGTAGAGGTGGACTCAATACTTTTCCAGCAGAATCTAAAACTGATGCAAAAGGACAAGTGACGACAACATTATTGTAAACATGTCCCAGCAATGCAGAGAGCAGCCGCAAAAGAACTTCAACCATCCAGCGCTGTCTTTCACCTAAAGCACGAAAATGGAACTCAATGGAACCTTCAACCCCTGATAGAGGCGGGCAGCACTGGAAGACATAATTCATTAGATAGAAATGACAACACCAAGTTTCTAAAAAATTTACAAGAATATAAGTAGGCGCAGTGTAAGAAAATAAACATATAATCAAATATGTTGGCGGAAGCTAAATTTAAACAAACCTCCTGCCATTGCTAAAAATTAGATTTATGCTCGATATTCTTTTCTCCAAGCAAAACGTGGATTGGAACCGTGGGAAGACGGTGTTGTCAGACTTTGGACCCCTTGGGAGGATGTTGCCAAACTTTGGAAACTTCCGAAGATAGTGCCAGATGGTGGAACCCTAGGATGATGTTGCCAAACCCTGGCTCTCAAATAGCGATGGTGTATTCTAATTTTCTGAGAGTAGGTTTAGTAACCAGTATGTGAGAGTATTTATAATTAAAAGAAAAACCGTCCATCACGATTTTTCTGCTACTTCTCACGTATATTTTGAATGTGATAGACTTAATGGGAGAAAAGTGGGCCACAATTTTAGGTTAGTTTAATTATATAAGATAATTCAAAAATAATCAAAATTCAAATATGATTAATTAATTAATTAATTAAACTAACATTCTCCCACTTGGCCCACTCAAACTATCACAACATAACGAAAAACCTTACATACGAATCATGGCGGTAGGTCTTCTATAAACGAATGTTACCTTCCATGTATCACGATATGTCAAGCATCTCAAACTAAATTCACAACTTAATGAATAAATCTTATATTTATTCCGGGTTAAACATAAGCGAGTTTTCTCAATAATAAATAAATATGTGCACAATAAAGCGAGAAAACATCAAACTGAATAAGAGTCTCAAATAACAATGTGTGCAAATAAACTACATTGTAGAATCAAGTCCCATACTTGCTACGTGATCCCTGAAACTCTTTAGTGGCATGCCCTTAGTCAGGGGATCAGCAAGCATCAACTCTGTACTAACGTGTTTAATGACCACTTTATTTTCCTTGACACGTTCTCTTAAGGCTAAATATTTGATGTCGATGTGTTTACTTCGACTCCCACTCTTATTGTTTTTAGCCATAAATACCGCAGCAGAGTTGTCACAGTACAACTTAATCGGTCTGGAAATAGAGTCAACGACTCTGAGCTCGGATATGAAACTCTTCAACCATACACCATGCGAGCTAGCCTCGAAACATGAAACAAACTCAGCCTCCATAGTGGAAGTAGCAGTGATAGACTGCTTCGCACTTCTCCAAGAGATGGCTCCACCAGCCAACATGAACACATAACCCGATGTGGATTTCCGAGTGTCAATGCAGCCAGCGTAGTCCGAATCGGAGTAGCCAATCACTTCCAGCACATCAGTTTGTCTATATGTGAGCATAAAATCCTTCGTACCTTGAAGGTACCTCATCACTTTCTTTGCAGCTTTCCAGTGGTCAACACCTGGATGATTACTCTGATATCTCCCTAATACTCCAACAGCATATGCTATGTCAGGCCTGGTGCAAACCTGAGCATACATAAGACTTCCTACTGCTGAAGCATAAGGGATATTGCTCATGTGTTCCCTTTCAAAGTCATTTTTCGGACATTGACTCAAATCGAGCATGTCACCCTTCACAATGGGAGCTACACTTGGTGAACAATCTTTCATATTAAATCTTTCTAGAACTTTCTTGATATAGGCTTCTTGAGACAAACCCAAAATGCCTCGATTTCTATCTCTATGGATCTTAATGCCAATGACATAAGATGCCTTTCCCATATCTTTCATATCAAAGTTCCTTGAGAGAAATTGTTTCACCTCATGTAACATCCATTTATCATTAGTTGCAAGCAAAATGTCATCCACGTACAACACAAGGAAGCAAATATGACTCCCACTAACCTTCTGGTATATACAGTGATCCATGACGTTTTCTTCAAAGCCGAATGAAGAGATAACATCATGAAATTTCAAATACCACTGACGGGAGGCTTGCTTCAATCCATATATGGATTTATTAAGCTTACAAACTAAATTTTCTCCACCACTAGAGGTAAATCCTTCAGGTTGTTTCATATAAACCTTTTCCTCTAGATCACCATTCAGGAATGCTGTTTTCACATCCATTTGATGTAACTCAAAATCAAACTGAGCTACTAATGCCATGATCACACGGAGGGAATCTTTCTTAGATACCGGAGAAAATGTCTCGGTGTAATTGATTCCTTCCCTTTGAGTGAATCCCTTAGCAACAAGTCTTGCTTTATGTCTTTCGATGTTGCCATCAGAGTCTATTTTGGTTTTGAAGACCCATCTGCATCCAATGGCTTTTACACCATCAGGCAACTCGACAAGATCCCATACCTTGTTTGATGCCATAGAGTCCATCTCGTCTTTCATAGCACTATGCCATAAATCGGATTCTTTAGAATTCATGGCTTGTGAAAACGTTTCAGGATCATTTGCGGCTTTTATATCGTAATCTGATTCTTGAAGATACACCATAAAGTCACTATAAATAGCTGACTTTCTGACTCGTGTAGATCTTCTTAATGTTGTTTCATCATTATCACGAAGAACTTGCTGACCAACTGATTCAACAGCATGTTGTTCAACATTTTCTTGATGTTCTTCATTAACAACTTGATCTACGTGATCATTTTCATCAGTTTGTGGAACTTCATTAGTTAATCGTCTAACACGCGTTGGAACTTGAGGAGCGTGAAAGACAATCAATCTATCACTCAGCTTAGTAGGTTGATCTTTATAGTGATCTGTTTCAGAATGAGTATCTGGAATATGATCACTCCCACTAACCAAGTCATTCTCGAGAAATTTCGCATTTCTCGATTCCACAATTCTAGTGCTGTGAGACGGACAATAGAATCTATATCCTTTAGACTTTTCGGCATATCCAATGAAATACCCACTAATAGTCCTCGGATCTAGCTTCTTTTCTTGTGGATTATAAATTCTCACCTCAGACGGGCATCCCCAAACACGTATATGTCGCAAACTCGGCTTCCAACCCTTGAATAATTCAAAAGGTGTCTTTGAGACAGCCTTGGTTGGTACCCGATTCAATACATACGTAGCCGTCTTTAGCGCTTCTGTCCACAAGAAGTGAGGAAGTTTCACATTACTCCTCATACTCCTCACCATGTCCATTAATGTTCGATTTCTTCGTTCTGAAACACCATTTTGGTCCGGAGAACCAGGCATAGTGTATTGGGCAACAATCCCATTCTCTTGAAGAAATCTAGCAAATGGACCGGCAGCTTGTCCATTTTCTGTGTATCTGCCATAGTACTCACCACCTCTATCAGATCTGACGATTTTGATCTGTTTTCCACATTGTTTCTCTACTTCAGCCTTGAAAACTTTAAAGGCTTCTAAAGCTTCATCCTTAGAATGAAGTAAGTAAAGATACATATACCATGAACAATCGTCAATAAAGGTGATGAAGTATCTCGGATTACTTGCATTCATGTCTGGACAACAAATGTCTGTATGAATAATTTCCAAAAGATTCGAACTCCTTTGTGCACCCTTTATGGACTTGTTAGTTTGCTTGCCTTTAATGCAACCAACACAAGTCTCAAAATCAGTGTAATCCAGGGTACCACGTATCCCTTCATTCACTAATCTCTTAATTCTGTCGATTGAGATATGTCCCAATCGACGATGCCACAACATATATGAGTTCTCATTCATAACACATCGCTTTAAACCAGCCGTGACATGCAGTGAATCAAAAGTAGTGTCGTTTTTCAATTTGATCGAATAAAGACCATCATTAATTTCACCACAACCAATGGTTCTAGATTCAAAATCCAAAACAAAACTAGAATCCATAAAGTGAAACGAAAAACCCAAATATGATAGTCTAGATACAGAAATTAAATTTTTGGAAAAACTAGGAACATAAAAAGTCTTTTCCAACTTCAAAACAAAACCACTACTCAGCACTAAACTGCACGTCCCAATGGCTTTCACAGGCGAATGCATCCGACTACCGGAATAGATGAACTGTTCACTTCCCATTGGTTTCCTTAGGCTTTCCATACCCTGCAAGGTATTGGAAACATGGATTGTAGAACCAGAATCAATCCACCATGTGTTATAATTAATATTAACCATATTGGATTCATAACAGACAAATGCAGAAGGGATACCTTTCTTTTCGAGCCAGGTTTTGAACTTAATGCAGTCCTTCTTCATGTGTCCTTTCTTTTTACAGAAAAAACACGTAGACTCCTTCTTTATAACCCGCTCAGCTGGCACAGGTCCCTTCCCCTTTGTGTCATGCTTTCTCTTTTTGCCATGGACCGTTAGGTTTACTTTCTCACCTTCCTCCATCAGTAGTCTCTCCTCCTCTTGAACACACATGGTCATCAATTCATTAATGGACCATTTATCTTTATGTGTGTTATAGGATATCTTAAATGGACCGTACTGATGAGGTAAAGTGCACAATATGTAATGGACAAGAAAGGTCTCAGACATGGTCACCTCTAAGCTTTTCAGCTGCGCCGCAATGTCCCGCATGCGCATTATGTGCTCGCGCACACCCCTCACACCCGTGAACCTCATGGTGGAGAACTGAATGATCAGTGTGCTGGCAAGAGCCTTATCAGACTTGACGAATTGTTCATCAATAGCCCTCAAAAGCTCTCTAACATTATCATGCTGATCGACAGACGCACGGATACCAGCAGAGATCTTAGTCTTTATGAGCATCATGGAAAGACGGTTAGATCTCTCCCATCGCTCATAAAGATCCACATCATCTGGCTCGCTGGTTTCAGTAATAACCGGCGGCTCGTCTTTCCGTATAGCATAATCAATGTCCATCCAGCTTAAATGAAGGAGAATCCTCTCCTTCCAGATCTTATAATTATCACCAGTCAATTCAGGAATATCACATTTAATGTCAGAGAAATTCATAGGATTAAATGCTGCAAAATTAAACATACATGCTCATCAATAATCGAGACAAATAAGTTACATGTTCTACCAATGTAAACACGTTAAAACATGAATCTAGAGACATAAAACTTGCCTGTGGGCTAAAGTTTTACTCAATTAGATTTCATCAAAAACTTTACAATAAAACTATCAAATTGTGTTCTTTTTCTCAATTCCTGTGGGTAGATTAAGAAATACAACTCGATATTCTATCCTAATTACTCGTACAAATATAACGAGACTCCTGTGGGTAGATCTCATCACATCGTACATGATAATCACAATTGATGTCCATTAATGTGATTTCAAATAAATCATGAATAAAATTTTAATTAATCGAGGATGTTGTGGCTATTCCGCAATTAAATAAAATTTAAAATAAATCACAAACATCATGAATATATAAACTGAAGTTCACATAAATAAATCAGATTTATACCATCGGCATGCTCCAATCAAGAATGTAGGGCAGATATATGCAAAATAATAATAATAATAATAATAATTCAGCATGCCTTATCATTACAGTAATATTAAGTATAATAATAATAAATAAATAAACCAACGCAGCATGATTCATCCTTATTCAAAATACAATTAGCTGCTATATATACAAATAAATAAATAAAACAAAACAAATATAATATGTATGTTTGCAGAATTGATTTTCATGAATGGATTTGGAGTGATTTCACTTGCAATTAATCCATATTTGCAAATAATATGTATATATGATTCCGGATGATATCATTAGAAATTTGGACTGAATGCAGATACATTAATGCGCATAGGTACATGTTTGATTTTATTAAATTAATTAACATGTATGCGCCGCAACTCGGTTGTATAAAAAACGCCACAATTGATAACAAAACCATACAAATCTGATTTCGATTGCAGATAAATATCATCTCATATATTCAACACCGAAAAGCTTCCTCGAATAATTAATTGCGCATACAAGTCGACACAGATATGAAGTGCACATAAAATATTACAGAAGAATCTGAACACTCCATCGAAACGCAAGGAAAATTCAAAAATTTAATATTTTGCATAAATTAATTTCAAAATAAAAATTTAAAATTTTCCTCAAAGACAGAATGAAATTTTCTCAAATCGCAGGATCGGATTTTGATCAAGAAAATATCGCAAAACAATTGTTGAAAATAGAAAACCAAAATATTTTCAAATAAGAATTTAAAGCGAATCTTGATCAAGAATTTGAGGAGAAGAAAATTCTAAGCAAGGCAGAGGCAAAAATTGCTCTGATACCAAATGTAAGAAAATAAACATATAATCAAATATGTTGGCGGAAGCGAAATTTAAACAAACCTCCTGCCATTGCTAAAAATTAGATTTATTCTCGATATTCTTTTCTCCAAGCAAAACGTGGATTGGAACCGTGGGAAGACGGTGCTGTCAGACTTTGGACCCCTTGGGAGGATGTTGCCAAACTTTGGAAACTTCCGAAGATAGTGCCAGATGGTGGAACCCTAGGATGATGTTGCCAAACCCTGGCTCTCAAATAGCGATGGTGTATTCTAATTTTCTGAGAGTAGGTTTAGTAACCCGTATGTGAGAGTATTTATAATTAAAAGAAAAACCGTCCATCACGATTTTTCTGCTACTTCTCACGTATATTTTGAATGTGATAGACTTAATGGGAGAAAAGTGGGCCATAATTTTAGGTTAGTTTAATTATATAAGATAATTCAAAAATAATCAAAATTCAAATATGATTAATTAATTAATTAAACTAACACGCAGCAGATATAGATCAAGCATATCATATGCTGTTTTGGGGCAGGGAAAGAACACGGTGCATATATCTTTCATAACAAATATCTACACAATACATTGTTACATAGTAGAGCAATACAATTTTCTTAATTGTTACAAAAAGTTATTTTTTGGAATGTTTTGAGTTTCGACTAGATCTATAACCAGGTCTGAAAATGTTGATTTATATTCCTAGCATTTGGATGTATCGAATACTAGCCGTAGTTGTAAATGTGGTTTATCTTTCCGATCTAAATTCTTCTCCGAATGCACTCCATACTTTACATTTACACGTCTTTGAATATGGAATGGTTATCTGATAAATGAAATGTCATTTTCTAAAACAGGTGAACAATATTAGTGGGTACGTTCCTGGGCGGATAGTATTCTTCCTGGTATGTCTCTTTGAACTGCAATATCTTTCTTGTCTCATCTACATGGGTTGAGGCTCATGTATTATGTATGGCACATGTCTGAAAGAGTTTTGAATTCTTAATGATGGTCATGTTTTGTATGTGCTACGCCGAGGGTAAGATATTCACTTATGTATTTTGATATTAAGCTTTTCTTGAAATTTGAAAAAATCTGCCTATCTGGTTGTAAAATTATGATGCTACGATTAGGGATTCTTCAACTGCTTTCTTTTTAGTCACTTAATTGGTATAATGTAATAACACTGCCTAGTGCTTGTTGTACACGTATGTGACAGCCATGACTCTCATAACTTCTTGACTCTTGGGTGATAATTGTCAGCATCATTTGATAATCGGGCTGTAATAACTATTTCCAATTTTTATGTCATATTTATGAAAGAAGGTGTAATGTTTTGTTCGGTGCTTATGTAAATATATTGGAAGATTGGTTAATACATCAGGGTTATAAAGTGGTAGCTGCAGAGAGCAAGTTGATTGAAGTTTTCACTTCTGAATAGATTTTTCAAAAATCTACACTTTAAAATACAAGGTCACATTTGTTTTATTCTGACTTAGCTTTAGTTAAATGACTCCTAAAAAATGTTGTGAGAACATATTCTCTTGAATAAGTACTTCTCTCCTCAGTTATGTGATGAGAACTGTTTCCTCAATTAAATTCTTTTTATATCTTTCTTTAAGTACTCTCCATTTCACCCTTTTCGAAGAATGAGGATGGTGGGTGTTGAAGTGTGAATTCTAGTGGCATCGCCTTTATGTTTCACGTCAACACATATCTGACGCCACGCCCAATTTTGCTAACCAGGCATGGAGAGAGCCGGCACAATGTCAGAGGGCGAATTGGTGGTGACAGTGTGATAAGGTTATCACATATGTGAAGTTTAAGTTGATGGTTTTACTTAGCTTGAGTTTTACTAATATGTATCTATACTGATTTCTCATATACTAAGTACATCTACATTTTTAGAAAATTGTCTCATTGATGTCCGAAAAAGTATTCAAACAAGTCAGATCTATTTTGTTTCAAACCTCTATCACCATCTTACTCTTTAAATCAAATAACCAGGTAATTTTCATACAGCTGTGTTGTAACCTAAGAGAAATTGATTACACTAGATTGATATCTTTCCATTAAGTTTAGTTGAGAAAAGGGAAATGCTTAAAGGTTCGTTATATTATTCAAGGTTGCTGAGACCTTTTTCCAAAGTCTATATCCTGTTTCAGATTCTACACACACATATAGCTCCACTAAAGTAAGAGCTCAAATTTGTTTGAGATATGACCATTGCATGCAGATGGAAATGGAAAAGTTTGTTGAAACAAATGGTTATTTTCTACTTTTGTTTGTTTGCTCCGAGTTTCGAGATCAACATTGCATGCAGTGTTAATTCAGAAACAAATTATTTTCTCTGTTTTTGTTCGTTATAGCTATTACTGTTAATTTTTTTCTTCAAATTCGCCCTTGCGTTGATTACTATCTTCCCCCACTTCTAAATTACCCATGACTTCATTTTGTACATCCCAGATCACATAAGAAAGACAAGTTAAGGTATAGATATCCTCGTGGGGACTCTTATCTTGTTGTCATACAGAGGTTTGTGCAGTAAATTCTGATACAGATACTAGTTACTGTGAATAGCTCAATTATCAAAAAGCTTTGATTATATTCATCTGTTTTTTCTTCAATCTTCAGGTTGGAGCCTGTAATTATCGAGCTTGAACGACAACGCGGTCCAGTTGTGGTGGTATCACACCAGGTAACACGTTTCAACACTTAAATAAATTTCCATTGCCAACACACTTCTAACAATATCATATTATTCTTTTTTTGGTGGGATCATAGGCTGTGTTGAGAGCTTTGTATGCTTATTTTGCTGATAGGCCACCGAAAGAGATACCCCAAATAGAGGTAACACCATTACTATGACTATCAATCACCATGGTAGTTCGATAGTTTCTTTGCATCCAATAGGAAATACTTTGAATATGCAAAAACTATTTTATTCTTGAATACAGTGTAGTTTCTTGTAATTGAAATGTTGTTGGCCCTGATATGAAATCCTCATTGGAACATACGTGCTTAGCTTTTGGGGAAATTGTCATTTTGAAATCAAATAAGCTGCATGAAGAACTTACATAAATATCTTATCATTCTCGGGTTTTGTCAATTTTATTATTTTTATAATTTAATGTTGATTTGAAAAAGAGTTTCAAAGCACTGCAATATTGTATTATGTACACAAATGGTTTGTTTTCTTTTTTCAATCTGCTAGAGAATCTACATAGTTTAGCATCAACACGGAAAATCAAAAGTATATAGACATGATTATATCTACTTTTGTTATACATGCAAATGCCACTCCACACAAAATTTAAAATTTGATTGATGATAAGATTAGAAAAAGTGAACACATTAGATCTTGTGAGACAAATTATAGTAGTTTAAATTACAACACAATATTAATACACCTTTGCAGCATAATATGTTAAAACCCCCCAACATTATTTTTGGCAGAAAATTTGAAGAGATTCTAAGGGCAGAAAATCCACAAATTACCAATGCACAATTAGGTGTTGAGCTTCAAGATAACTTTGTCTCATGGTTTTTTAGATATGTAAGTGTAATCTCATAATAGTTTAGGTTATGAATAATTTAAATACTCTTGTATTTTTTGTTGTCATGCATTCTTTATTATTAAGTTGCAGATGAATTTTAGTGGGATTCTTATCATAACTTAAATTTTTAGTTAAATTGGACATATATTT